TTTTGTCCTGATGCTGCATTTAGGAGGGGTTGTGGTGGGTTGGAAGGGGCGGGAATCTGGGTTCGCTCAGTTATTGTCTGGGTTATTTTACCCGATGCTGCATATAGCCATGCCTAACAGATGCAGCTGTTAAGAGGGGTTGGGGTGGGGGGTGGAAGGGGAGGAATTTCGATTGGCTCAGCTGTTTCTGGGTTCTTTTGCCCAGAGGCAGAGGACCAACCCACAAAGGCATGTGCAATGAGCTTGGCAGTTGCCATGTTTGTCTGCTGATAAGGTCTTTTTTTTTTTTTTTTTTTTTTTTTTTAAAGCTGACCACGATGCATGATACAGACCGACTTTTTATATATATATATATACAGCCCCTCGTTTGTTGTCCTCTTCTCTCTCTCTGCCAACGGTTTACCGGGCAGTTCTGTTTGTGACGATATATAGAATTGCAATCGCCCTGACAGATCATAACTCAGGAAACGGTTGCTGGTGGAGATCAATGCTGCATGCATTTCGCCATGGTTAATACTATTTTGAGAGAGAGAGAGAGAGAGAGAGAGAGAGAGAGAGAGAGAGAGAGAGAGAGAGAGAGAGAGAGAGAGAGAGAGAGAGAGAGAGAGAGCAGTTAGGAAGGGGTTGATGTGGAAGGGGGAAATTATGTAGTAGTTAGGAGGGGGTGGGGTGGGATGGAGTGAAAGGGGAGAATTTGGATTTCCTCAGCTGAATCTGGGTTCTTTTGCCCGGAGGCAGAGGGAACAATAACCCGGATAGATCGGATTATCTGTGTCTTTGCAGAGAGAGTTCAAGGGAGAGGAGTTGCTGATTTTAGGAGGGGTTGGGATGGGGTGAAAGGAGGAGGTGGGGGGGGGGCGCGGAATTTGGACTTCCTCAGATGAAACTGGGTTCTTTTGCCCAGAGGTAGAGGGGCCAATAACATCGACGGATTGGATTGTCTATGTCTTTGCAGACAGAGTTCAAGGGAGTGGAATTTTTCTGATGATGTGTTTGTGTGTGTGCTAGATGGTCATCCCTTTCGTACCTGTGTAGATAAAGCTCATCTTCATTAGCGAGTTGATGCTTCTTCGGGAGATCAACTCCTTAATGAAGATCAGTGGAATCCTGAACCTTGGATTTGTTTTGTAAATATGCTGTTGTCGCCGAATTTGACATCCTTCCAGAACAGTGTAAGACAAAAGAGAAAAAGCGAAAAAAAAAAAAGAAAAGGAGTTACAGTTGAGAGATAGGTGGAGCCTTGCAGGTGGGATCGCCATCATAATTGTGATGTGACTGACTTCAGATCTGTGACCACAAATTTAGATCACGGTGAAGGTGAAGGTGTGAAGGTGTATCTTGTCAGGATCGGATCGAAGTTTTTGAAATTTCAACACGTGGGCAAACAAGGGTTGTGATGGATATAGGTTAGGGGAGATGATTGGGAGTGTGCGTAGTCCGGGAGTGTTTTATTTTTATTTTGTTAAAGCAGGACCAAATTCTTTCAACGTGGGGGCAAAAGAGGTCTGTGATGAAGAGGGTAGATTGGCAGCCTGCCTCATGCGTTGAGCAAGGGGGGTTGATTTGACCGCGAGAGGAGGCAGTGGGTGGTGGCTGTAGGTTCTGGTTGTCTGCCAAGGCAGCAGCAGCAGCAGCAGCAGTAGCAGCAGCAGCAGTAGCAGCAGCAGTAGCAGCAGCAGGCATCCCATTATCAGAGGAGAGACATGCAGAGCTTCTCTGGATCGTCAGAGGAGAGAGGAGGCATGGTGTACAGAGCTTCTTTGCATCATGGCATGCAGAGCTTTTCTGCGCCCTCAGAAGAGAGACATGCAGAGCTCGTCTGCATCATCAGAGGAGGAGAAAGGAGGTGGGAAGGTGAGAGAGAGAAGGTGGTGTTATGTCAGTTGTTGTGGAATTGGTGTGCCGGGTGGGAGACTCAGTTTTTTTTGCACAGCTGTTTCCGAGCAGGAGAAGATGGTCGGATACTCGGTGGCAGAGAGTGTGAGGTAGAGGCTTATGAAATCAGCGCTGCATGTTCCACGGCTGCTAGGGATTTATTTTCACCGTCTTGGTAGTCACGAGGAAGTGGCCAGCACTCATCTTCTCCGGTGGTGCACGGCATATCCAGCTGCAGGCTTCTTCGAAAGGCGATTTGAGAGAGAGAGAGAGAGAGAGAGAGAGAGAGAGAGAGAGAGAG